AAAAAAAGTAAATAAATACATTTTTTTAAAAAGATATATTAATACATTTTAAAGAGTAAAAGGCATGTTACAAAATATTATGTTTATGTATGGTCTCAATTTCGTTTCATTGATGTCTTAAATACTTATATTTGCACACACGAAAAAAAGGCTCAGAAAAATATATGTCAAAATGGTAGTAATTATCACTAAGTACGGTGGCTTACAGGAGAATTTTATTTTGTGTGTCTGTGTGCTTTTGTGTAATTTCCAGTTTTTCTACAATTACTTTTATAATCAAAAGCATGTTGACGGAACAAATGAAGAAGGGGAAAAAAAAAAAAGGACAGTCATACTGGCTGCTGATCCTCATGCGAGAATATCCACAGGTATATTTCCAAATGACGTAATAAATGTAATCCTCCTTGATAATCAAATTATAAAAGGAACGCTAGAGTTTGGGAAATAAAGACCAACTCAGAAGATAAACCATCAGGGAGTTAAAGGAGAGGCATATTCCTGGTTTTAAACAACTCCTGAGGCTGGAGTGGGTTCACCACACCTCTATGTGCCCAGCAGAAAGGGAAAGACCAGAAGAGCCTCCACCAATACCACTCGAGTGGCCTGTCAGAAAGGACAGGCTCAGAAAGAAAAGACCCTCGAATCAACGCAGCGCTCTCCCTGGGACTCAACACTCCCCACCCCCACATCTCTCTTAAGCTAAATCCACTTTCAGAAAATATTTTCTAGACAGCAGACATCAAGAGAAAAAGGAGCCTTTCTTTCCGTGGCATTCCCCCACCACATATGGTACTGCTCTCAATAGAGGCTTTATGAGGGAGGGTCCAGATACCACAGCCATGGGTTATGCCATTGACCACAAGCAGCAATAAACAGACGTTAGGATTTAGATTTCCATGCAGCAGAGGCACCCTGACTAATTAAGACAGAGCTTCCGTCACATTCCAACATTCGGTAAACGTTTACTGAGTGCCTACTAAGCACGAGGCACTATTTGTAACACCACCCCCCCCCGCCCCCCCACCCCCCCCACCTCACACACACAAACACACGCCACTTCTTTGTTCTGCTCAAGGACTCAGACTAGGAAAGTAATGATTTAGGCTGGAGGCATGGGACAGTTTGATTCAACATGTCACATGTCACCCGGATTGGGAAAAGAGCAGAGGCAGAGGGAGAGCATTCAACCTCCAGAAAGGATCAAGGGGACACATCACTGCATCCCACTGGGAGAGCCCGGGGACAAAAGAAGCTGAATCCGGCAGTGCTGGGCTCTGGCCTTCCTAAACCTCCACGACCCATTCCACAGGGAACAGTCACGGCAGCCCCTGGTCCTGGAGGAAACTGCATCGCCAGGTCTATCCATGGTGTGAGAGAGAAATCCAACCCTTCGAATTCTTCTCCCCACCCCCACAACTGAATCATGTCGGCCACCCCTTCATCATACGTACTTTTGCCCCCATTGTTCTTCAGGACATTGGAGAGGTTGACAGAGGCGGTGCCTAGCAGTTCATTTCTCAAAGTATGGCAGCTCCAGACCTTCAAATCTAAATGACTCTGGGCCGTGACATTCCTGGAAAACAAAAACTTGATTAATCACATCTGAGCACATTGGTCACTCCTACAACGTAGAAGAAAACAGATAAACTTACTGCTGACATCTTGGAGGGAGGGGGGAAACCTCAAACAGGAAGACACTCACATGTGTACTCTTTCCCCCCCCAAAGCTGACCCTGTAACCATCTAGCTAATAATGAACGCTCTGTGAGCTCAATGATGTAGAAACACCTGGCGAGAGGTGCCCTGGGTACCAAAGGCAGAGGAGTTAGCAGGGTCACAGGAAAGCTGGATCTCCCACAACCCCCTTGGAGCACCTCCTCACTTTCCCCCTTGTTACTGCAAAGAGAAGGGACTTTCTCTTACAAAATGATGATCTCATTCCAGAGAAGCTCGGAGCTCCCAATTCGCTTCCCCGTCTTCTTAGTCTCACTGGGGAGTCCATCCACTGCCACCTCCACAAATGAGTTAATTCGAGGTTGACGATTATGCACCTTGGGCTTTGCTGACACCACTGGACGGGAAAGAAAGGAAAAGTCGAAGATGAGTCAGAAGGCTCCCAGGTGCCCCCCTGTGGCAGATGTTCCGATCTTTTTTGTTGTTTCTTTTAAAAACTACGTTTGGTATTTTTTCTGATCCTAAAAAAAATTACTTTTAAAAAAATGTGAGGATATTTTAAAAACTACGAAGCATAAAAAAAAAAGCACTCCTAACCTGAAAACACTGGGATAATTATCATTAAGATGTTGGCAAATCCAGACTTTCCAGACTCTCATCTTTTATGCCCCCAATTCTTTAAGAATTCTTCTCCCTCCAAAATCAATTCTAAATGGCTGCAATATGAGCCAATTGTATAGACATGCCATGATTTAGTTAACTATTCTTTCAGTGATGAATAGATTGCTTCCAATTTTTCACTCTGGGAAAATCATCATGAATGTATATATTTGCATGCATTTCTCAGTGTTCCTCCAAATGATATGAATATTTTTTCTTCAAACTGCTTAATTCCTTTGCAAAAAGGATAAACCCATGTAGATGCCAATATATCCATTTCACCACCATCATACTGAGTATTATGTTTTTTCACTATTTAGAAATCAGAAAGGTAAAAAAAAAATCATATAAATTAGGTAAGGTTTAATGAGCACTTATGACAGACACTAGGCTATGCACACATCATCTAAATGAATCCTTAAAACAAACCCATGAGGCAGGGAATATATCATCACCCCCATTTCACCCAGAGGAAGCAGGCTTGGGGAAGTTAAGTCATTGCCCCAGGTGACAGAGCCTGGGAGCTTCAAACCAGGATGTGCACCCAGGCAACATGACTCCCCACCACGTTGTATGTCATTACCAGATTTTGCTTATGTGTTCTATTGCTGTTCTTCAATTACTAGTGAGGTTGTATATGTTTTCCATGTGTTTGTTAGCCATCTGCATTTCCTATTCTATCTTTATCCTTCATGTGGCAACATCTCTGATGTTTATTTGGTACCTGCAAGCCAAGCTGAACAAGTATACATGCATCTCTTCGAGCATATATTAGCCATGGTGGAAACTCCAGGTCACTGGGATGGAACACACCTAAGGTGTCCTCCATCCCATGCCCCAAATCAGAGCATGTGACTGGCATTTCTTACCCATGAGGCAAGACAGAGCCCCCCTCCGACAAGGTTTAGCAAACCTCTCCCTCCCAGACCCTTCTGAGAGGTGAGAGTCCTATAAGGGTCCACAACTTGACAAAGGACAAAACTACCTCTGGATTCTTTTAGCAATACCTGTCTTTTCCGAGGCCCAAAGAACAGTAGAGAGCAAGTCAAAGAACAACAACAGCAAAAGTTGTGGCTAAGATTCAGAAGCAATAGGGGATGGTACGAGGAGAAACAGGTGGTGGTGGTGGGAAATGTGGTCCAGAGTAGAAAACAAATACTTTTCACACAGACCAAGGTTAACTGAGGCCACCTGGTGGTGGGAGAGCAGCTCTGCACACAGAGCCTTAAAAAGCGGGGGAAGGGGGGAAGGACTAGTTTTAATTATAGTCCTATCATTTTGAGCTAGACAGTTTCTTTGAAATCAACAAGTTCATAAGGAGGGCACATGATATAATGATTAGCACTAGGTATTATATAAGACTGATGAATCACTGAACTCTACCTCTGAAACTAATAATACACTATATGTTAATTAATTGAATTTAAATTAAGGAAAAAAAAGAAAACAAGTTCAAACCCTTCATTTAATAGTTGAGCCAATTAAATAAGGTGCAGGGAGATGAGATAACGTATCCAAAATCAGGGAACTCCCAGGCCAATTCTCGGAACTCTGTTCTAATGTTTCCTTTTTTGTCCTAGCTTTTTCCCCTAGGTTTTTTTGTTTGTTTGGAGGTTTATTTTTTTGTTTTTGGGGGGTGGGGTTTTTTGGTATCTTTACTTTCTTTTTTATTTTGACATAATTTCAGATGTTTAGAAAAGTTGCAACAAAAATACAAAGAATTCCTATAAACCCTTCACCTAAGGGTCACCAAATATTAACTTGTTACTATATTTGCTTTATTATTCTCTTTCTCTCCCCTGATTCTCTTTCATACACATACACATCTGTTCCTGAAACTTTGAGAGTGAGTTTTAGAAGACGCTGTGCCCCTTTTCTTCTAAACGCTTCAGTGTATATTTCTAAGAACAAAGACATTTTCTGATACCATAGCATAATTATCAACATGGAAAAATTTAACAACCTTTTAAAACTATGATCTAATGTACAGACCTCATTTAAATTTTGTTAAATGTTGGGACGCCTGGGTGGCTCAGTTGTTAAGCGTCTGCCTTCAGCTCAGGTCATGATCCCAGGTCCTGGGATCCAGCCCCACATTGGGCTCCCCACTCGGCGGGAAGCCTGCTTCTCCCTTTCCCACTCCCCCTGCTTGTGTTCCCTCTCTCGCTGTGTCTCTCTCTGTCAAATAAATAAATAAAATCTTTAAAAAACAAATAAATTAATAAATAAATGAAAATAAATTTTGTTAAATGTCCTATCAATGTCCATTATAGCAAAAGAGAAAAGAAACTTTTTTTTTTTTTTGGTCCAGGACCCAACCTAGGATTACATATTGCAGTTGGTAGTTTTATTTTGAAATTTCCAATCTACAGAAAGGTTTAAAGAATAAGACAATAAATAACTGTATACTCGGCAACAACTATCATTTTGCCCCATTTGCTTTTTTTTTTTTTTAAAGATTTTATTTATTTATTTGACAGAGAGAGACACAGCAAGAGGGGGAACACAAGTGGGGAAGAGGGAGAAGCAGGGTTCCCACTGAGCAGGGAGCCCGATGCGGGGCTCGATCCCAGGACCCCGGGATCATGACCTGAGCCAAGGCAGACGCTTAACGACTGAGCCACCCAGGCGCCCCGCCCCATTTGCTTTTTTAAAAAGCCTTTTCACGGGACAGCTGGGTGGCTCAGTAGGTTAAGCATCTGCCTTCAGCTCAGGTTATGATCCCAGGGTTCTGGGATTGAGCCCCGCGTCAGTGGGCTTGAACTCACAACACAAAGATCAAAAGTCATGTGCTCTACCAACTGCGCCAGCTAGGTGCCCCACCACATTTGGGGTTTTGGTTTTGTTTTTTTTTTCTATGTGTGTGTCTATATCATTGCTATTCAAGAGAACCTCAGTGATAAGGAAAAGTTCTATGCCAACACAGTCCAATGCACTGCCATGAGATACATGTGACTACTGAGGACTGGGAATATAGCTCTTACGACTGAGGATTTAAATTGTTAATGTAATTTTAATCTTAACATAAATAGTTCTATGTGGCTATAGTGGCTATCGTACTGGATAGCACAGGATACAAATACATGATATCTATATCTATATATGTCCATGACTAGGCATATACCCACAAACTTCTTTTTGGTAATCTATTTGAAAGTTGTAGATATCGGGCACCTGGGTGGCTCAGTCGTTAAGCGTCTGCCTTCGGCTCAGGTCATGATCCCAGGGTCCTGGGATCGAGTCCCGCATCGGGTTCCCTGCTCGGCAAGAAGCCTGCTTCTCCCTCTCCCACTCCCCCTGCTTGTGTTCCTGCTCTCGCTATCTCTCTCTCTGTCAAATAAATAAATAAAATCTTTAAAAAAAAAGAAAGTTGTAGATATCATGACTTACCAACCCTAAATACTTCCAGAATACAACTCTTAAGAATAAGGATGTTCTAAACGTTGTACACTTGAAACTAATACAACACTGTATGTTAATTATACTTCAATTAAAAAACAAACAAACAAAATAAGGAGGGGTGCCTGGCTGGTTCAGTTGGTAGAGCATGCAACTCGATCTCAGGGTCGTGAGTTTGAGTCCCATGCTGGGCATAGAAATTCCTTTAAAAAGGGAGGGGGGCAAGAAAAGCGGGCGCCTGGGTGGTTCAGTTGGTTAAACTCCAACTCCTGAACTCAGCTCAGGTTTTGATCTCAGCGTCGTGAGCTCAAGACCCGAGCTGGGCTCCACGCTAGACATGGAGCCTACTTAAAGAAAAATAGAAACGAAAGGGAAGTCATTTTCCCACCTAACCACACCATCATTATTACACCTGAAAAAAATTTAGTTACTCCCTCTATCATTTGATATTCATTACATATCCAAATTTCCCCAATTTTTCCAAACATATTTGTTAGAGCTGTTTCCCCCAATCCAGGATCCCATCAGCATGAGCAAATTGCATTTGGTTGCTGGTTTCTTAATCCTTTAAAATCTAGAATGCTCTCCCTTCTTTTTCCCTGACAATGATTTTTAAAGACTTCCACCAGCTGTCTCATATAATACACAAAATGCTCTGTTTTTCTGATTGTTTTCCTCATGACGAGATTCACAGTGAACATTTTTGTCAAGAATACTACATAGTTTACATTGTAAGCGTCTTTCTATACACACTAGGTTGTCCTCCTATTAATGTGGGGTCTATCAGGTCACTCCACTGTAAAGATACATTTTCCCCTTCATAAGTTATAATTTATCAGTGGGATGATTATTTTGAAAGTTTCTTGTTCTTAAAACACAAGCCAAATTAAAGGCCTCAGCATCCAAGCAGATTTATCTGGAAAGTTTATTTACTATTTGATGAAATATAAATGCCAATTTCACATCTTCACATAGAATTTAGCTTTTAAAGTTAACAAATAAGGCCAAAAAAAAAAAAAAATCACACATGGCCAAAATTATATCCTTGAAAAGCTCTTAGGAAGGCACAGAACAGAGTCCTTCAATAGGTTCCCACCAGCCAGCTTTTGCTTTGTTGTGGTTTTCAGTGTTCAGTTTCTCAGTGCTTCTTGAGTTATATATCAGATAAAATAGCTCGCTTATGTTTAAGGACCTTGCTGTATTTTAAAAGTGTATTTTAAAACTCTAGGACTGCATTACAGAGAGGCATAAGGGAACTGAGGCAAAGAGAAGGAATAGCAAAGCGACCTCTCCCAAATTACACTACAGGCTCTCTCAAAGAAACACATCGGACGAGGA